CCGAAAAGAGTAGAAAAAATATTAAGAAAAATGGAATTAAAATTTGAAAATAACAAACTTAAGCCCACATTAACATCTAATCTGAAACCAAAAAAACACTTGTATAAACATATACATATATTTCTTTCTTACAATTCGAATGAGACTTGAGGAGAGAAAATATATATATAAAAAAAAAACGAGGGATCGCCATTGTTTATCATGGTCACCGCCATTGCTCATAGCAGCCGTAGCCGCAACCACAACCACCACCACGGCCATCGCTCATCATCGCCATCATCGTTATTTTTGTGGTCATCCACCACCACCGCCACAGCATCAATAGAAAGAGGGTAGGAAGAAAGGAGAAGTAGAGATGAGGGAGAGTAAGATGGATGGATCTATTTCTGAAGAAGAAGAAGAAAAAAAAATTTTAAAAAAAGGGAAGTCGAGATGAGGAAGGGTAAGAGATGGATGGATCTATTTTGAGAGAGAGATGAACTAATGGAGAAGTATGAGAGAAATACAGAGAGAGAGAGAGAGATGGTAAGAAAGATGAGATAGAGTCACAGATGGCGGGTGAGAAAGTAAAAGAGAGAGTGGTTTGACATATAGAGAGAGAGAGAGAGTGGAAAAGGCATTAGAATTGAGAAGAGAGAAAGAGAGGAGATGAAATGAGATGTTTGGGATCAGAGAGAAGGCGTCAGAATTAAAGAGATAAAAGAGTTAAAGTGAAGAGCCAATCAAATATTTGATTGGAAAATATATAAAGGTCTTGAAAATATAAAAGTCTACAGTTTGTACATTTCCAAGACAAAGGCAGATAGTGGGTTTGCTTTTGGTTAATCTCCCTAGGGAAGTAAGGTAATATAATAATAATAAAATATATATATTCTTAATTCGGTCGGATTGGTTTAGCCGTATTTAATTATATTATACCCAACCTTCGACCGAAATTCATAGAAATTTTAAATTTTGCATCCATAGCCGACTGAGTTATTGGTCGAAACTGCCCGTATCGCATCCGGGTCGGGCGGGTCAGGTCAATTTCATAGGTTGTTCGGATATTTGAACACCCCTAAGTGAAACACATCAATAGTCATTCTTCGGTGGTGGTGGACGAGGGAAGTAGTGATGGTATATGTCATTTACGCGATGCTCAATCCTATCTATGCGATTGCTTGCCACTTCATTACATCTTTCAATGTCCAAACGAAACTCACCAAATTATTGAATTAATGAGTTCTGCGTAGTGGAAAATGCATCAAACTGAGTACCCAATGAATTGACCTGATTAGCCATTTGATGTTCCTATTGAACGCGCTCATTGTAATGTTGTTCTTCCACAGCCAAAAACTCAGTCCAATATTGAAGTTGTTCAGTTGATGGCATCACATTGGCATGAGGATCTTCTAGAGCATCATCTGGTGGGACATCATCTTCTGGGTCATATGCATTAAGACTTCCCATTAAATTGTTAGCTCCACCAGCACGGGTCAGTGTATACTGATTAATGGGTGAACAACTTTTGGTCTCTGTTTCATCTACAAAGTGAACCCTAAAATGTTTGAAAATTTTTGTCAGGAGTGCCCCAAAAAGTAATGACCGCCCCATGAATTGACCAAGATTTGCATACATCATTTCTTTGATTATTATGTAGCACAAATTTATTTTATGGCCAACTTCAAAACAGTATAACAAATAGGCATAAAATATGGGACAACATCAAAATGTCCTCTTTTCGGAGTGACATTTTCTACAATCCACTGGTGGAGAATCCGAAGATAGGGTTTCAAATGTCTTGCTTGTAGATTAGTCCCGCTAAATCTGTTCTCACAAATAGTAGTATATACGTTACTGCTATTACCAACAATATTAGGTAAGTCAGCCTCACTCTGAAAATGGATATGCATGTCACCTACCTCAACTCCAATAATTCCTACCAAAGTAAGGATATCAAACTGAATACCCTTTCCTTTCACATAAGACAAAAGAGCAAAATTTCCATCTTCATCATTAGTACCTCTTAGGTGAACATAAAATAAAGCCACCAACCATGGACATACCTTTTGCGGTAAATTAATTAAATTTAGCCATCCCATTGTGTCAAGTTTGCTAACTAATAGTGCATCATATTGAGGTGGCAGATTTACCCTCCTCCCTGTTACAATAGGTCGGTTGGAGAAGCTTTGAAAGACTTGTTCATGACTTTCACTGAGAAAATCAGAAGTAGGATAAGACTGATTTTGAGACTGTTGTTGTTGGCGTCGTGAAGGGTTGGAGCTTTCACCACGTTCTGGTCTGGATCTTTTAGTTCTAGGCATGATGTGAATATCTATTAAATTTTTATGGAAATGTGTTAAATATCAATGGTGAATTACACATGAGCCGAAATTAAAATGGAAATGTGTTAAATATGAAAGGTGAATTAGTGCTGACATTGAGAGTGCAAAACTTTACAGTAAAATGGAAATGAGCTTTCACCATGAAAAATTAGGTTGAGATGGGAAGGAAAGGCATGTTATAGGTTATAGTTTAACAAATAATTATGATCTTATATCAAGGAGAATGGCAAAACAAGAGTTTAAAAATTAATTTACTAGATATTTTAATTTGTACACATAACTATTCTTCTTTGCCAATACACCTCTAAATGAAATTATTTAAAATTAAAAAATATAGTAGACGAGCTTGTAGTGAATAGATAAGGCATTTGATGACAACAAACCAAAGATAATAAGATAACAAAATAAAATAAGAGAAAAAGAGAGTAGGTAGTTCTAATCTTCAAACCAAACCTCCATCAAGGAAATTGCAAACATTAGATAGAAATGCCATTCACTTGTCTGTTAATGAAATTCACTTGTTTGTTTCATATAAGAGAAGTGAATTTCCAAGGTTAAACATTAATGTAGTTTGATTCAGAACAAGGTTAAACTTCAACAATTAAAATATGGTGTTATGCTCTTCATCTTTCTCCTATAGAGTCCTTTTTTTTTGGGTGTGAAATGTGGTGTGCAGAAGTGCAAGGAAGTGCACACTGAAATAAAAAAAAAAAAAATTTAAAATTTGCAGGGTCGGTTGACCAACCGGTTAACCCATGTTGAACACTCACTCTATTTTCCTGTTGGCTTCTTGTTCCTGCTTCTATTGGCCTTGTTGCTTTAGATGTTTTGCCTTGTTGATTCTGTCGATTCACACTTCCAATATAGAGTTTGTTTAGAGTGCATATGTAGTGTTTGGGAACAAAATTTGGTGATGCAGAATTTGTATAGCTGTTTCATCTACAATCTTGAGCTGGTATAGAGGGTAAATAATTGAGGTAGGTGGTGGAGGGAATTAACGTGGTTGGTAAATTAGTTTAATGAATTAGTTGGATGGTGGTGTCTGTAAAATGAGGCATTGACTTAGTTGATGAGGCATTGACTCATTGAATGGTGGTGTGTGTAATGAATTCGTATGCCACATTTGTGGATAAATGAATATATGTACTGAATAAATAAATGCCAACATCAGTAAGCCAACCATCAGTAAGCCAACCAACATCAATAAATATATGGATAAATGAATTTCAACATCAATAAATTTAGTTTTCTGAATAAATGAATTCCCAAATTCAAGAATGAATATTTAAATATAAGATTTCCAACAACATCAATAAGCCATTTCCCATTATTTTGTAACTGATTAAGACATGGTTATTAAAACATCACTATTAAAACTGTTTAATATATGTGGATATATCTAAGCAGACAACATTTATAAATTATGAATTGAACATTTGTCAATTGTCAACTTTACAGATTGGATTATCACAACAGAACATCATAATAGAACTTCTCAAGTACTTGGTTAATATTGATAAAATTATGAAAAGTACAAATAAGACAACCTGCCATTCCAAAAATATAAGCAAAATTACATGTTCGCGTCGATTTGGTGAATTTAGTTTCCACTATGAAGACGCCACATATGTTCTATTATATCATTATGGAGGGCAGATATGCATCTTTATCTCTAATACCTAAATGACACTACTAGAAAAATAATTTTTTGCGTCTATTTTTTTGTGACCGATTGTTTGACCGTCGCAAAAAATATTATTTGCAACGTCAATCCAGGGAAGCCACTATTGGGGCTTATATTTTGAAACAAAAACTTGCCAGCCCACCATTGGGACCCAGCCCAATTTATATTTTCCTTTTTTGTTAGACTCTCATTTTCCCCAAATCGCTCGATCATTGATTTATATCTTGCCCTAGACTATCATTTTCCCCAAATCACTTGATCGTGTCTCAGTAACCAGGTTCATTGTTGGATAAAAAAAACTGATTTTCTCAATCTAATATGAGTAGCTCCAATGGTGTGCATCAAAAGTGAAGGGGATGTCTGGTGGGTCGACCGATTAGGCTTCTCAAAATTTTTTTCCCCTCTCTTTTTGTTCCCAATTCGTTTATTATTTCTTTTTCCCTCCATTACATATTTTTCATTTTTTGTTGCCTCCAACAATGATTTCCTTCCAAAACCAGATATAAACAAATTATCCATATGCCATATACCAAACAAGTGATTCGATTATATCTGAAAGGCACATAAGTGAAAGAAAACAGAGCATAATGACTATCTTAAATTCCATGATGTTCACTTCATTTTCATCATCTTCTTCCTCATCCTCTGATGATGAGTCTGATGATGAATATATGGTCACACGTTTAGGGGCATATGAGATGAATAATGCTAGTATGATTCAGATTTTGCAATCAATTGATAGCTCAAAGAAAAGAGGTGGTTCTGTTGTAGGCCATAAGTACATATGCTGCGATAGAATGAAGGGTCATGAGAAATTGTTTGCAGATTATTTTGCGGCAAATCTAGTTTATTCACCTACAATATTTCGGAGACGTTTTCGAATGCATCGTCCTTTGTATCTGTGAATTTTGAATGACAATGAAGCACGCAATCCATATTTTGTTCAAAAACAAGATGCAGCTCATATTATGGGATTGTCTCCCCTACAAAAGATGACTTCAGCTATGAGAATATTGTCATATGGAGTGGCAGCAGATGCAGTTGATGATTATATACGTATTGGGGAAAGCACTGCAATTCAAAGTTTGCAACAATTTTGTAATTCAGTTATTGAAATCTTCGGACCAGAATATCTGAGATCTCCAACACCAGCTGATATTGCTAGATTACTTGCTATTGGGGAGGTTCGGAGGTTTCCGGGTTTGTTGGGAAGTTTAGATTGCATGCATTGGGAGTGAAAAAATTGTCCAAAGGCATGGCAAGGTCAATACGTAGGCCATCAAAAAAAGCCAACCATTATTCTTGAAGCAGTAGTTTCTTATGACTTGTGGATTTGGCATGCATTTTTTAGAATGCCTGGATCACACAATGACTTGAATGTGTTGGATCGATCACCTTTGTTTTCTGATCTTGCTCAAGGTAAAACTCCCCCTGTCCATTACACTATTAATGGACGTAGTTATAATATGAGTTATTACCTTACTGATGGTATATACCCTCAATGGGCAACACTGGTTCAAACAATCTCTTCTCCCCAAGGAGTAAAGAAACAACATTTTGCAATAATGCAAGAGTCCACAAGGAAAGATGTAAAGTGGGCATTCGGAGTGCTTCAATCTCAATTTGCAATTCTAGGTGGTGCTATACGTTTTTTGGATCCAAAAATGTTTGGGAACATAATGAAGAGTTGTGTTATATTACATAAAATTATTGTCGAAGATGAGAGGGAAGAGCACCTTGATTTTGATTATGAACTTTCATCAACCAATGCACCAGTACAACTTTCATGTACTCCTAACAATGACTTCTAATTATTTCTGTCTCGTCATTTAGGTATTAGAGATAAAGATGCATATCATGCCCTCCGTAATGATTTAATAGAACATATGTGGCATCTTCATGGTGAAAACTAAATTCACCACGTCGACGCAAACATGTAATTTTGCTTATATTTTTGGAATGGGAGGTTGTCTTGTTTGTACTCTTCATAATTTTATCAATATTAACCAAGTACTTGAGAAGTTCTGTCATGATGTTCTGTTGTGATAATCCAATCTGTAAAGTTGACAATTGATAAATGTTCAATTCATAATTTATGAATGTTGTCTGCTTAGATATATCCACATATATTAAACAGTTTTAATGGGAAAAGGCTTACTGATGTTTTAATAACCATGTCTTAATCAGTTACAAAATAATGGGAAAAGGCTTACTGATGTTATTGGAAGTCTTATATTTAAATATTCATTCATGAATTTGGGAATTCATTTATTCAGAAAACTAAATTTATTGATGTTGGAATTCATTTATCCATATATTTATTGATGTTGGTTGGCTTAGTGATGTTGGCATTCATTTATTCAATACATATATTCATTTATCCACAGATGTGGCATACGAATTCATTACACACACCACCATCCAATGAGTCAATGCCCCATCAAATGAGTCAATGCCTCATTTTACACACACCTGTGGACTCGCCTTTTTCCGCACCCCCTTTCGGAAGGTTTGAAAAGAAAGGCCTCACAATTCGGACTCCCACGGTTCTGAATCTAGTCTCACAAGTGCAATGTGAAACTAATAAACACCAAAGAGTCCAAATCCGGAAAATCTTTTTGAAAAATCGATTTTAAATCAAATAATGCCAAACTTGGACTGCTTTACCAGATACAGAGTCGCCACCGAAATATTTTTGTTTCGGGGAAAATTTAGGAAACCCATGACTCGTGCCAAAGGTAATGTGTCCGTCATCACCAAAGTTGTCTTGGCTCGAGAACTAAGGTACGAGAGGGGAAGGTCATGAATTGAGCACCCCCGCTAGCCCGATCAAAGATCGGCCTCTACTAATCATGATATGATCTTTTATAAACATTATGTGCTCTTGTTCCGGTTATATAGACTAAAATTGCAAGAATTGGAACAATTTACTTTCATGTTTATTTGTGAAAAGGGTTTGAATTTGCCACCTCAAGTGAGCTTAAAGTTTGCGAATTTGCCACCAAACACAGTGGGCTTAAAACAGGTTTGCCACTCAACAAAATGGGCTTAAAACTCACATTTGTTGAATTGTTCCAATTCAAGCAACAAGTCTTCATCTACAGGCATTCATGCAGTTTAGCATTTAAGCACATAGCCTCATGGCAAGCATGCGAAACATGGCAACATGGCAATCACACCCATGCAAGCATGCTAATGCATAAAAGCTCACCAAGTACTCCAAGCCAAAACAGAAACTAGTTACAAAGATGCATGATCCTAAATATACAAGATGCCTAATGCAGCACATGCAATATGCAATTAATAGGCTCGGCTACTAATATGGTATATGAATCGATTTGAGCAACATGCGATTAAACACGTATTCAAAGAATTATTCGAAATTGCAATGCAGTTTGAATGATGTGCTGAGCCTCGGTGCATGC